CAAATTAAAAGATGCTTCTTCTAGTAATCTGTTCAAATTCAAAATTAGTGAGGAAATCTAGCAAAACGATTGCATTTTGTTTGGTTCAGTCTACAGTGACCATTCTCTTTTTCCGTTCAAAGATTGCTAGTGGTATGATAATTCAAAGAAATATTTCATGAACTTTTCTGAGAACTTTCTGTAAACTTAAGATGTGTATCCCAACCGGAAGATTATGATCGTAGTAGGATGCAGAGGTTGAAATTCTGCATCCCCTGGCGTTCTAGAAGGAAAATCAGAGCTCAATTTTAAAGCAACTCCTTTCCTTCAATTCTGAAGAACAAACAGTCCCAAATGAAGACTGCTCACTCATTTAGGACTGTTTTTTACTTTTTTATACGAAGTAGAGGAAGTAATGAAATCGCAAAAAACTTTCGGGTATAATATTACAAAGGAAATATTCATTCTGAATATTTCCCAATCAGTTCGGAAGTTTTTTTTCTGTGTAATGTCTGCACGTACGCACAGAATAAAGGAATGTTTTTCCAAAACGGATTGTAAAATGGATTCCAAAAGGGATTTTTTTTCATGTCATCTGTACGTTGTACCTAATCTGTACGAACGAAAATTTAATGCATGCATGTATCTTGTTGAATCTCTGAAAATTAATTATTAAGTATCTGAAAAATTACAGGGTTTTAAACTTTTTAAACTTTAACTCAAACTGACTAGTGGTGCCGGACAAAAAACTCTAAAAATATATAATCATATGAACATTCATAATCGCAGCCCGTAGGTTCACGTCGCTCAAGAGAGCAAGACCCCAAGGTTTCAAAACCAAGGTTCAAACAAGGTTAAAAAAATATTGGCTTCTATTAGTATCATAAGTATGATGAGCTCTCTCTCTCTCACCAAAAGTAAAGTAAACTAAAATATTATTTTATAAGGACACAACTGATTTCTTAATTTTTATGGCTCAAAAATATGTTATCTGATTTCATTCACGTAATCATGATTTTCAGCCTTCAGTTTAAATGATAGAAAGGATTATTATGGCAGAATCACATTTCTATTAAAGCATTTTGCTGAAATGTTGTATTTTAGCGAAGAACATAATTAGTGACTGAATTTATTATTGTTTTGTATTCTATATCAATGCAGAAAATTAATTCAGTTCTTAAGTACAAACTTCTATTAATTAGAGACTTCTATTCTTCTTTCTTAGACTTCGGATGAACGCTAAAACGTCCTACCTTTTATATATTAGAATTTGAATGCATGAACTTTGATGTCTTACTGCTTTTAAATATAAAATCAGATTAAGATTTTTGCATATTATCTTTAAAGGAAACATTTTAAGTGCTTCGAAGAATGAGGAAACAAAATTATAAATCAAAGATAAACAGACTGGAATAAATCTCAGTTGAGCAACGACGAATTTGAAGAATTCTTCCACGTAATGAACAAAATTAAAACCATCTATGAAACTGCTGCAAAACATTTAGCTAGAAGGCCAGATCAAACTGCTCATGCAGTAAGGAGATAAATTTCAAGATGCATAAAAATTGGTTAAGAAGATTTTCTTTCTTCACTGTTTATAATTTCTTCATTTTAGTTTGCATAGTATATGTCAAAATTGAGGATTGCTTACAATTTTTGCATTAGATATCTTGTTCGTCATAGCTGGCACGTTTCGTTAGATGAAGGATAGAAATAACTAAATTGTTATCACTGTGTCGTATCCACAAGATATTTTAAATAAAATTTAAGCAGGAAAATAGTGCATTTTGAAAAACAAATTTATGTTAATTTCATTTTTTATTAACATCGTACTACTCGTATTATGAAAAGTAACCCCTGAAAAGTGATTTTTATGCAGACTTTAAGCTTGTTCATTTTATTTCCGTTTTAAAAGGATTGGATTGGTTTAAAAGAATGAGGAGAGGCGTCGAAGTAAATCTTATAGACCTCAACGTATGACACAAAATTCTAACGCCTTTAGATGATTCACTTTCACGTTCATTCATTTGTTTCACCAGCGCGTAGCATCCTAATTTTGCAGACGGTAACGCGTTGTATGTAGGAGATTGTTGACAACAGTGGCAAACGTAACACTGCAGTAGGAATCTTAGCTTCTCCTGTTAAGGCATCTTTCAATTCTGATATATCTCGTGGATTTGATGTGTACAGTTCAGATAGCTTATACAGCTTCAGAAAATCCCAGAACCAGAAATCCATCCGAGCGAGGTCGCGGGATCGCAGTTGCTGCGAAACTGCAAAGTTAGAGAGAGATGAATATGTCTTGAAACGTTGTACACGTTGAAAACTTGAAATTTCAATGAAATTTTCCTCTTTCCTCTCCTAGTTACTAGTCCTTTACATTGCTCTTCTCCGCCTGCAATTTTCATCATATGTGTATTGTTCCAAACTCAATTATGGTTTTTCAATGCGCTTATCATTTTGTGCAGTAAACAAGGGAATGTTGCCCTTCAAAAGTTTTGAAATCTTTAATTGTAAACGTAACTGCGAGAATTTTACTGTTTTAAACCAGCATAATCTCTAGCACATACATTCAAATAACAATATCTGAAATTTCGTTTCGATTGGTTGAACGGATAGGTTTGGATTTCTATTGGTTGAACGGAGGGATTTAAAATTATGAAGTGAAATGTTTTAAATAAACTGTCAAATTTAATTTCCAAAGTATCTCATTATCTTTTTAACTACTATAAGAAAATTTTGGTAATGTCGTATTGCACTTGGGTGGAACAAATGCGAAGATCCTCATTGTTTTTAAGAAATAAGTTCGTATACAGAACTAAAATGAATTTTAAAGTACTTTTCACGTAAGCTTTCGTTGAGTTGTTAATTCACTGATTCACGAAACCTAAATTTCTTAGCACGAAGAGATTTGGAGGTAGGGGCTATTAGTTGTTCGAAGGCCACTAACGGACCGCTGAGAAGCATATGGACACTATGCACACGCTTGGAAAATTGCTGATAAATACCTAAGGAAGAACAAATATTTAAACATTCACTTAATTATAAAAAATTTTACAACCAAGTGTCTTTACAAAAGTCGCACTAAATCGTACCAGTCGACATTTTACTTTCAAATTGCATGTAGGTTTGTTTTTCTATTCTAAGAGAAAGCGATGTAGCTTTAATATTGTAAAACATTATTAAGAATTCATACATGCAATAATGTCCAATATGTGTAGTACATTCAATATGCGATAATATCAAGTATGCGTAGCACCACGTAGGTAGCATGTTCTTTCGATACATACTCGTGTGCTACCCATGATTGTTAGCTTCATTATTATAAATGCTCCGAGAAGTTTTTATTTAACTTTCTGTTTTCCATATTATGTGATAATGAGTTTTAATTTATAAAATATTGTGTAAGTGCAAGAAATATCTAAAAAACTTTTGTGCGTTTTGTATGGGTAAATGGAGCTGAACAAATCCTAAAGGGGATTTGAGCGAAAAGTAAATCTCGAAAAGTCGGAAATACGCAGCGAACCAAAAATGTTTGGAAATGTATTTGGTATGTATTTATCTTTTTCCTAATTAAACTACTAAAGTGATTAATTAATTTTTCAATGTCTAGATTTATTCCATATTTCTGAACTTCAGAAATTATTTTTAAAGAACTATTAATTAAACTATTATTCGAACAATTCTTTTCCATAGCGTTTGTTGTCACTATTTTAACGTACATCATTTGACTGCTCCTTTTTTACCACGTTTTCACATTCTTTAAATCTGCTAATCATACCAAAAGAAACAAACGCAATAAGCAGATCTTCATATACATGACTTCCTCCAGGAACGAGAGGTTTCTACCCGCAGTATTTTACCACGATGTTAAAAAGAGTTCTGTTTGACTTTGTGTCTAGCGCAGGTCGTCAACCAGTGAGAGGGAGTTAAATGTCAAGGCATCTAACAGCGTTACCTAATTATGTAAATTTCCTGAATACAAAGATTCGTAGAAAATTGCATTCGATAACGGAAAACAATTTTCTGTCAATCACAACTATCGATCGTAATCGATAGCAATTGTCATCGATCGCAGTGATAGAGGTTTTAGTGATATCAGGGCTTGGGACATGTCGTAACTGCTGAATTAATGGACCCCAAATATCATTCAAAATTAATTCTGTAGCTCATTTGAACCCATATACGTACTGCATCCGCATCGCAGTGATGGAAACACTGCCTTTAGAACGTTACAGAGTTTAGACCAGATATATGACTTAAAATGTAATGTGGTAGACACATTAGAAAGTGTCCTATTGCTATGGTATTCAGGGTTCTCAAACTTTTGATTAACGAGTACCATCTAAACAAAAATTGAAAATCTTTAGTACCACCACTACAAAATACTACTACCTCCACCAATCTTGAACAAAGCTCAGATCGTATAAATTTACGAGTGTTAGAGAAAACTTCAATCAGAACGTTGCGGATTTTAATTTTTGAATTTAATAGTTAAAAATATTTGCTTCTTTGCGTACCACCAACTTTTCTCTTGCGTACCACCGGTTGAGAACCGCTGCTGTACGTTCCGCTGTAATCTAAAAGTTATGAAGGGACGATACGTCGTCTGTGTTGTTTTAGCACTTAAAGTTTAAAACAGTGTGGAAAAGTACACGTTTTAGATACAAATAAAAATACCAGCTGTTGTTTCAGAACTGTCAAATGCTACTTTAATAATTTCTATTCATATTAATTTACGAAAATAACTGAAAAAAATTTAAAAGCTTTAACTTTTCGAATTTGCATGTGCTATCTAGTTTAAAGCTTAAAATTTTTAAAAAACGTTTCGAATAATTTGTAGTACGTTTCTATGCATTAGTTATCAAGCAGATTTAACCGTAACATTTTAACATACATTTCCCTGTTGTTCTATAAATCAAACATTGCTTTAAAATTAAGTAAGTCGTATAAATTCCAAACAATATATACATATTTATACTAAAAATGTATTGAAATAAATTAAAAATGTATACCAAAAGTGCATTTAAATCAGAGTGACATAATAACAGTTTATTTACAAATAAAATTATGTATAAAACATCAGATCAATGCGAAAACTTAGCCCAACTTCTATGTGAAAATACATATTTTAAGAAGACAAAGTTTCAGTTCAGTTTCTGACAAAGGTGCGTTAGAAATTTGTCAATATGCTATAACTTTGTATTTTATTGACTGTTATATCTAGTGAGAGTAGCTTCTCTTTTGTTCGCTGTAACGTCCTCCTTAGTTCCTAAAATTGAAAAACAGAAGTTTTAGTATTTTTTAAATAAAAATAAAAATTTCAATACTTTTCTATTTTCTCTTTTTTCCTAATTAATTAATTCGAAAGCCAATATTACAAACTTCGAATTTCTAAAGCAAGACATAAAAATTCGCATTAAACTTAAAAATAAACAGCTCGCGAATCATTAAATGTGCAAATTCGCAGTTTTGCTTCCGGATTGAGCCTAAAATCATTTCTTTTTTCTTTAAAAATATAAAAGTGTTTTCATGCTTTAATATTTGGCAGTCCTTGATGCATATGGTAAAAATTGTGCTTGAAATTTATGTGAAGAAGCAGTTTAATTTGCTTCTTCCCATAATCATGGCATCTCGTTCAATTTATTTATTTAATCAAATTTCGCAAAGTATATGACAGGAAAGGATGACTTCTTACAAAACGTTTCAACAGAAAGTGACTTGTATTCGCTTTACACAAGAAAAAAACATGGAAATGCCTCTTTCGTAAATAGTGTCTTTAATCGAAAGGCATTACAAACTCAAGAAGTGCAGTACAGAGTTAATACTGCAACTTTAAATACATAAAGAACAAAAGAATTCTAGGTCATCTTAGTTTATAAGGTTTTTAATTCACAGATTTGAAAAAATTTATATCGCGATGTGACTGCAAAAATTTACAATAGTTGATCTAAGTTACGAGTTTTTCCATCTAATGCGAACTTTCTAGAAATGCAAATGGTATTGGCTTTTGACTGTATCTTGGGTTCATAAAGTACAATTTTGTTTGGATACTGTAAAAATTCATAATGTTGAATATAACCATCATCACTATACTGAATATCCTTTATTTCATCGATGGTTTTAACCCACATGGCTTCACACGATCAATCATCATTGGTTTATTTTTAGTTGAAGAGCAAATAAGCAGCAGCCATAAATGGATATACTACAAAATTATATATTATAGAATGCAAGAAATATGATATATATAAATATAATAAACAAATGAAGAAATTCAATGTAAAAATTTGTAGAAGTAAACTGCAATTTCATCGGAATTCACTCCAAAGTTTTTTGTTGCAATAAATATGCTAGACTGAGTTCCAACCGAAATGCAGATATCGATAATTTCTTGATTATTTGGACAGTTTTTTGCATTGAACTTCTTGTTTTGTTTACTATTAAACTATAAAAAGGTATTTTCTTCTAATGATTTATAAAAGCTGGCGCTTAAATATATTCTGTTTAAGCGTCAACTGACATTCAAATTTAGGGTTATGCTTTTATTTGGTATTTTTCTCTATCTTCTCCATCAAAAATGATCTTTATATTGTCAAAAACAGTTTATACTCAATTCGGTGATTTATTTAACTTTTTGATGCATATTAAAGTGCAGAAGTCCGTTACATTTAATAGTGGTATTTTCTTTTCGCAATATGTCCATTCTATTTAACTACATGACTGCAGTATCTTAAGCACTGTCATGAAAATATACATTCCACCAGTACGTAGAGTTTATGAAAAAGGGCTTATTAATTCTGTAATATTTATTAACAAATTTGGATAATTTTATGTTACACGGTATTTTCTGTTTTAAGAGCTAAATTGAAGTATTATTTATGATACCAAGGTTATTTTCTGAAAATATTGCTCATTGTGAAAATGGGCATTAAAATCACTATGAAACTTTTAATTGTAAGATGTCTGCTACTCAGGAAGGTTGGATGCAACTTCTAATTATTCGCTTTGGCAGACGGCAATTTAAAGCTGCATACTAATACTGTAAAGAAAATGATGTTGCACTAATTTTTCATCGCAAGTGCGTACAAAATTTTCCAGGAGATTTCTCAATTGAAGAACATATTATTATCATGCAAAATCACAAAATAAAAAGAATCTAAATTTGCAGTCAAGGTGTCATGAGAAAGATGTTTAAACAACATCAATGAAGCAGTGGTCTGGGAGGAAATTTTAATTCATTACTGCTAACATGAAACAACTAGAAAGATCTGTTTTTCCAAGGTAATACAAGTTTGCACTGAAGTAGTAAAGAAACTTTTAGCGTGATTTATACTTTTTATATTTCTTACTTTCTGAATTATTATAACTTTTAATTATTCAAAACAATAAATATTACAAGGCAAAAACTTCCTGAATTAGTATGAAATATATACAGTGGTGCAGTAGTGACGTTTTAAAGATCAAAGATAGGTGAAAGGAATATTTCATCTCTGAAGAATATTGCATAAAACAAATTGCAAAATTTACCTCTAGAGAAAAGCAAAATAGTAAGAGTTATTTGTGCACTTTATAAAGCTTAAGTGTTGCGCTTACATAGAAGTAAATGGAGAACTTTTAAGATATCCTCATGGATATCTTAAAAGTTTTCGGTCGTTTTCGGTTGAAATGGCGATTTCGGTCGAAACTGGAAACAAAATGCGAGACAAAGATATAATGGATATGAATTTGGATAAAGTATTGCTGTAGAAAAACAGGTCATGAAACTTTTATTGCGTATTACCTTAACAACGGATGCATTTCTGAACTGCAATAATAAAATCAAGGGTTTTCTTAAATCCATTACATTTTCATATCAAATTTATTTATAGCACACAGATGAGAATCATAATGTTGCAAAATAGGTGACTACTATATTTATTTTCATTTCATTCCTTTGCAGATAAACATGCGACTAGAACTCTCTTCTAGAATAACAGACGTGAAGTGTTACGGCATAAATATAGTAATCTAATTTGAGAGTACGTTGCAAAGGATTTTATAACTTTCTTTCTGTAGGACCTTTCAAAACATTTTCTTAAGTAAGAAACCTATGGCATGAAAAGAGTCTTTTCACATTATTACTCATATTCACACTTGAAAACATGAGAATATCTGGCATTCAAACAAAGCATTTGCCTTCTAAAAGACTTTAAACAATAAAAAAAATCAAAATGTTTAAAATGAAAATTTATTTTAATTTAAAATTCATAAATTACATGTTTAGGATAATTATAATAAATTCAAAATGAAATATAAATGCGCTATTTTACCAATAGGAAGCTTGTTTACCCTTTACACTGATGTAATTTTAAAATCACGTAGTCATTGTCACGTTAAATACTATGCAGTTTTAAAGCGGAACTTCTGACGTGAGGGAATTTCAACACTTTGATCTTGAGTGTTTAAAAAATACAGAAAATCATCCTTTTAATGCTTAGTTTATCAAAATAGATTTAAGCCCCTCTTATGATGCCATTTATCATCTGTATTTCCCATATATAAGCATATATATATATATCTTTTACGACCTAAATAAATCAGTGTTCCAGACTTTTATCAGTTGCTGCTTTTCAATTAGATTGCAAATGAAATTATAAATTTTCAAGTATTCGGTTTTGACTGTTAAATATATTTCTTCATAAATAAGCGTTGATTTCGTGTCAGTAGTTTTTTAAATGAAATGTCCTAAAATATTTATTTGAGTTATTGAAATATTTTAACTCGCAGTCAAGTGATTGATTACTAAAAGTTACCAAAAATTAAAAACTTTTATTTCAGAAGAAAGTTAGTCAAAAACATAATATGAAAACCGTTTCAGCTTTTTTTTAACCTATATTTTGGAAAACGTTCTAACAAGGAAGTTCTCTAAATTGAACGTTGAATTGGTCTAACATCGAACTTTAAATTTTTCTGAAAAAATTATACATGGTTATACTCATCTAAAATTCATAACACCGAAAGAATTTGCTGCTAATACTGTATAGATAAAGATCTAAAATACTATAAAATATAATTAGATTTGGCAAGTAGCATCCAAAAGTTTCAAAAATTCAGGTGGGAAAATTTAAGGGCGATTGGTAAAACCCGTGATAGGTAATTCGGAAGTAGGCTCAAATTTTGGTGGATGGTTTGCCTGAAGGCAAATTTTCGTGGTTTTTCCATTGATAATGTGAATGCAAGTCATTTACATTGAAACTATTTTTTAGTAAAATTTTTCCTTTTGGAGCTTTTATCTCCAATAATAAAAATGCTGCAAATTTTTCGCTTGGCTAAATTTATTGAGGGCACATTCGAAGTTGCACTTTGTTTTGTTTTTTCGCCTTATGTTACGTCAGAATTTTATTCCTTCTTTTCTTTACTCGTATAATCTCGAAATAATATATGATTAAGGCTTGGCTTGGTTTTCTTTCTCAGATTTATTATTTGACATTTATCTGTGAATTCATTTTCAGATGTATATCTATATATTTTCAGAAGTGAAGAGGCAAATTTTTTCCCCCTATTACTTTATCATCCGTCATTTTACTTGAAATTAAATATTTCAGAAATCAGGTTTTTCAGTTAAATACCTTCTTTTCTACAATTTATTAATTTCAGATACCTAGCTGCATAATTTGAAATAATATCCAGTTCGCATTGTATGAATTTATACCTTCAAATAAAGAAATAAGTATGGATTAAAATTCGAATTTAGTGTCTCCTTAATTTTAGGTTTCTCAATCAATTTATTTCATGTTAAAAAAATACTGCATATTGGCAGCAGTGTGCGTTTAATGAAAAGTATATAATGTTGTAAATATTTATAAATATTTTATTTCTCTTTCTTGTATTTTTGATTTTCGGTATTGCAATATTTTTCATTGTTTTACTTATTTATTTTATTTATTGATTGTTTTTAATAATGATAATTGTACGGTTTGTTTTGGGGTTTAATGTAATTAATGGATATATGTCCTGTATTTAAGTATTTATTTGCTACTTACACAATCTATATCATCAGAATTATAGTTCTTTTAATTTTGAATGGACAGTTTTAGAATTGTAAAAATGGTTCATTTAGTGGTGGAAATATAGGTAATTTCGTTTCTGAAGAGCTTTGGCGAAAGGTTTTGTCACCAAGTTGGCGAATTTCCGTAAGATATGCGAAAACACATTTTCGAAGATTTCGACCGATTCTTTCAAAAGTTTCCAGAACTCCTTCTTTTAAGCAGATACTGTTGAATATCCATATTTTTCTTGAATTATTTCCAATCATTGCTGTACTCTGTGTACTGTTTATTATGCCTAATAAATTTTTCATTTCATCCTGCTTATCTGGACTTAGTATTCAAAGAAGAGTCAACGATCCCACAGCTCGATACAAAATATATCTAATGTAATATAAATAAAGAGTAAAATTTTTTTATCAGTTAGACTTAATTTGCTTAAGACTATGATTGTAAATAATTTGATTGAAAGAGGATATTCTGCAATCCGAATATCTTCTTAATCAAAGGCTATCAGAAAAAAAAGAGTTAAAGCTAAGAAAATATCTACAAAAAGTGTACGTTCGATATCTAGAAAGGTTTGGTTTGGTTATTTTATTTCATCTATAAAAATTTAGCTTTCAACATTAACACAGTAATTTTCTTTTAGTGACCTGGAATCTCTTGTATTCTTTTTCCCAAATCGGCTCCAAGTTCACTTAAGAGCAAATTGTAATTTTACTTAAAATTTAAGGAAGTGTTTTTGATAAATGAGTATGAATGAGAAACTGAAATTTTAAAAGTCGAACTGTATTTTGTGATGCAGTGCTGTTGTGGAGATTTAAAGTGTGTGTGTGTGTGTGATTATGGCAAAGCCTCGAGGGCTATCTGCCTAAGAGGAGGGATGCCTTCGTGGAGGACTTTCTAAGGGAAACTGGCTCGTATACACGTTACACATGGGGCCACGAAAACGCCCATGCAGCCAGCCCGTTCGCGGGATTCGAACCTCGGACCGAACTACCAGTGTTCAGCGACTTTACCGCTCGGCCACTGGTGAGCCGTGGAGATTTAAAGAAATTTTAAACTTTTTTTTGGAAAGTTCGCTATTGGTGATGAAATTCGTCAAAAAAGCTCACCATTGGCGATGAAAAATACGATATTTTTCAATGTAATTTGGGGGGGGGATTTTCTATAAAATGTTAATAATATTAGCATCTAATTCTTTTACTGTTATGCATTTCATGATACGAAGGTTCATATATTGTATTTGTTTTAGAAATTTTAAAAGTTCAAGGATGGAAGATCTTCTGGAGAAAGTGCAGAATCGCCCACTTATTTGTTTGGCTCTTTTTACAAAAGTAAGAAGTCAATTTTCTTTGACTTTTTAAGTGAAAAATAGGTCGATATGTACATGGATAAAGGGAGGGCGCAATGCCATTTTTGTGCAATTCTGTGATGTTGTTTTTAAGTGAAAATAGGTCGATGTGTACATGGATACCGAGTATGTGCAATTTTTAAAAACGCGCCAATCAGTGGGGATTCTGCACTTTCACCGATCTTCTTTGTAAGTTTGGTTATTTTGAAATTTTTCTTTACATTTTTAGAATAACTTAATTATTACAGAAAAGGTAACATAGAGATGTTGATATATATTGCTCAAAACATTTCAAAAGTGCTAATATTACATATAATACATTGATTAAACACTTTTCAAAATTTTATTTAAAACATTTATAGTAACTTGATTAATACATAAGTTGAATCTCTTGATAAAATTATTCATAGTTTGTTGCTTGTGATGTTTCAGATAACAATAATAGTAATAGTAATTTTTTAAAATATGATAATATGCTATTTATGGCAGCTATAAGCTGGTAATTCTTGACTTTCATAAAAATGGCTCTGCAAAAGCTATTAGAAAGGTTTGGACATTCATCCAAATTAATTTATAATTTTATACTCGAATGCACAACTGAGGTTCGTCAGAAGGAAAAACCTTAATACTTTTAAAAGACAAAAATTTTATTTAATTCTCGAGTTACAAAGAAATGTATAACTTAAACATATATTAACTTTGTTACTCTTAATATGCTACTTACGTATTATCCCGTCGACTGTGATACTTTCGTTAACCAGCACTATTTAACTCCAGTTATGAATACGCGTGACGTAACACTACACTCATAACATCTGTTGTTTTATTTGATGTAGCTTCAATCGATTCTTGATAAGTCCTTTTTTTATTAACAAGGATATAAATTAACTATTATTGCTGTAATTTTTCCTTAAATTTTAAAAGAAATGAATAAAATTTTGGACCTACCACCTACAGAACAGCAATAAGTGGATTATTTTAATATTACATTACAGGATTCTATCATAAAAGTGTATACTAATGGACACGATATAGCCGACAAAACAACAGTACATCGGAACAATCGCCTGTAAGAAGCTTGTACTTAAAGCTTTCTAAACATTTCTTCAGGTAAAATCGGAAAATAAAATAGGAGAAATCAACGAAAACCTTTTTAGGAAGCGCTGAAGTGAATCATGTCTATTCATTGTTTAATTAAAGAGACGTCAGTTCCTTCAGAATTTCATAGAAACGATTGGCTCAACTTTAGCCAGCTTTTACGGTCGACGAGATAATACCGTAAAGTACCTTTAATTTTGTTTTCTCCAGCAAATGTACTATATGATTTTGAGTATAAACGCGCAGCTACTAGCATTTAAATGCATCAGACATATAGCTGATGGAAGAAATGAAACTTTCAATGAGCAATATTCTTTTAGTTTTCATATATGTTAATAAAAGTTTTTTTTTTTAATTTAATTAACTGGTCTGAAGTCTTTAAATTTTTTTTTCATATTTTTACTAGTAAGACATTTTCAAGAATAATATGCTATGGATTATACTTTTATTTTAGATACTACCTTTAGCGAAATTCCTTCTGAATTTAGCGACTTTTTAGCTGCTTCTGTAGGTGTATCTAGCGACATTTGAAAGTGAGAATTGGCATTCATGGATATGCTGCTGTTATCAATAATAGCGCTAATTTGGAATTCTCTTTCCTTTTAAATTACAAACATATGCTATTGTGGTTGATAATAACATAGTTGTTCTCCGTGTCAGTAGGATCTTGATGGATTTTTATGAGAACCATCTGCATTCTTTTTTATTGCATCTCTGGAAATTTCCGTTTTCGTTTTGTCTAACTGTTGATCGATGGCGCCATCGCTGAGTAAGCGATGATTATTACGTTTACAATAATTAAAAATTGGAGGTATAACACTGTCAGTTTATTGATATTGCTTTGCGTTTTCCGATTTGTTCTTGCTTTCGTGAAGTTCATTTTCAGTGATATGGAAATGTGAAGTTTTCTGTACAAGAAGATAAGATTTTTGTGGTGTCCGTGTAATTTTTCAATGAGAACGGAATATGTGTAGTTTGCTGATTATTACTGTATAAATGTATTAACTTTATTTTAATCCATATTAGTGGTCCACTACATACATATAAAATTATGTATGTAGTGATCCGTGAAGTTCTAAGGGTTGACGACCACTGCTATAGTTATCACATTATTTTAGAATATTTGACCCATTTATTAATCCGCTTCAGGAGTTAGATATTTGACTATGAACTAGGAGAGATAGTTGACAGAAAATTTGGAACTCTATTTTAAAGATAAAAAATTTCCTCGACAGCTATACTAAAAATATTATGATGCGGAGAAGATTTTTTTAAAAGATTAAAAGCTACAGGCTGGAATTTTTTACACTATAATATAAAATAATGCTCATGAAAAGTCAACTATGATATTTTCGTAGAAAAATCTTTTAGCTTGAATCATTTGAAGTAAGTTAAACAGTATTCTGTTTATGTAATTATTATATCATGTGAAACTTTTGAATTTTTGAGACATTTAAAACCATGTGTCAGTAGTTATGGTATTAATACGACTATTTTTTGACCATCTGAAATACAGAGGGCAAATTATAGAGCACATTTGGAGGTTCTTAATTAATTTTCAAAATGTAAATATTCATTAATCAAATGTTCGATGTGATCAGCAAAAATAAATAGCATCATGGTAAAATTAGCAACACATGGGACAGAACTATGTCAAGTCTGAGACTAATAATTCTTACACACGGTGTCCCTTCAAGATGGCCTAAATTTTGCACAGCCAGATCCTTGCTTGAAAAATAATAAAAAATAGAATAAAAAATGACCAAATAACGCACCTCTACGATCCATAATTTTCGAGATAAATGCGAAAGAAAAGCATGACCTCTTATCCGCCACATCGCATATAGTTGCAGCTTGATGGAACTCTGGCGCATTTCTGCGCTTCTGCACGTGATTGGCTGGATATGGAATGCTCATGTCGCTGGACTGGGTTGGCTGATTATATGGTCGCCACTAACGCCAGATCTGACACCTTTGTAATTTTTTTTTTCTATGAGACCATTTCATGAAACTGTTCTAGCTAGACCTAATTACTATAGAAAGTGACTTAATTTCTCATCTTCCTGCTGCATGTACTTTGGCGGACACCATGTTGCTGCAACGTGTGAAGTCAGCATTAAACGTGCACATCGATGCATGCCTCGATATGCTCGTTAGACATTTGAACGTCTTTCTGTGTAAACATATGCAATAACGGATGATCATGTTTCAATAAAGTTCCCCCCTTTTGCCTCAGATATGACGTCATACATTTCTTTTACATATATCTCAAAACTATGGGTTATACAAGTACAGTTCTTTGAAAAAAATTTTATACACTCCATAGAGTAATCTGACTGCGCAGAGTTTGGGCGGTTGGGAGCTATAGAAACATGAGCAAAACCCCATGAATATTTCGTTTTTTTTTTTTTTTTTTTTTTTTTTTTTTTTTTTTTTTTTTTTTTTTTTTTAAGTCTTTTAAGCTGCACATTGTTGTTTATTAATTGTTACAGATGCATTTAAAACTCTTTCTGGGAAAGATTTTCCATGAAATAGGAAAATAGGACACTGTCTGTAAAAATATATGAATTAATTTGTTTTTAATTATTAAAAATTTGAAACTAAAACACAGATTTCTTCTCTTTAAAAGCAGTTTTACCTTGATCATCGCTTTCCCAAACTTATAGTCAGGGCTTTCCCGTGATGTCCATGATGAAGGGCGTGATGATAGGAAGGATAATAGTAGACAGGACCATGACTGTATCCATGACCATAGCTGTGTCCGTGTCCATAGGAAGGCACATAATGATGGGAATGTCCCAAGTGTATGGAAATGATGGCCATTGAGCAAGACAGCAGACTGAGAAAAAGAATTGCCGCCTAAGGAATAGACAGATTTCAGCATTAAATTAATAATTAGGGAGCTATGAGTTTATTTAATAATAATAATATAATTATTACAAGTTTATAGTTAATTTATATTCTTGAATGCAATATTTTATAGTTAATGAAATCCAAAATTCATATTAATATAGAAAATATTTCAAGATTTTACTATTTTGTAAAGAGTAAAATTTTCGATACTTGTCTCTTAATTTTGAATTTTTGAAAAACTTCCATCAATTCAAATTCATTCTTTAAATTAATACTGTGTTCTTGAATTATAACCAAACAACTTAAAATGGTGCAAACAGAACAGTATATGCTAACTACTTATTTCTCAAAAATTTGAACTAATCAAGAGATCAAAAAATAAAAGCAAGAATGTAATCTTTATTAGGAAGCATGTCCCAAAAGAATTTTCTTCAAGTAACATGCCTTATAGCTATTACACGATAACAGGTTTCCATTACAGCAGTTGTTCTCAACTTTTGTTGCCACATGGACCGCTTTCAACATTCTTAAATGTTCTTCCCTTCTCCTTTCCAAAACTCGAAAAACACATATATACACTTATTTAGATTAGACTATTTTTAACGTGTTCTACAAATTAAATAAAAAAAAAAGTAAGAAAATATTGATAAATATCAAACTTCACTAAAAGTTTTTTTTTTTTTTTTTTTTTTTTTTTTTTTTAGGTGCTTACATATTAACGCAACCACCCTTAGTAGAAGTCGCGAAATTCTCAGAATGGGCCAAACTCTGACAACCATACGCAAAACAGTTTTTCTGGCAGCCATACTCATAACAATTCTTCAAATTAGCGATGTAGCCATTTTCATATGCTTTCTTTTCGTTGTATTCCACATTCAAATAATTTTTACAGACGAACAGTGATATTTTTTGCCTTAAACTCAACGCTTATGTAATTTGCCAGCAAGGGAAGAAATTGTGGTAAAAGTTTTACAGAAATACAGTAATTTGACACAAAATCACTAAAGGGAACAACTGTTTTGAATTTTTTAAAGGCCGCGAAATTTCAACGACAACAAAAGAAAATAAAAAGCAGCTTGTGAGTAGATTTAATTCATTGATTTTTGAGATAAATACATAATTAGAATGTAAGATGCATATTTAATAATAATTATACAAGGAATAAGTTAAATTTTTCAATTGAATTGTATGATGTCTTACATAATCATTCATTTTCATTCGTAAAAACAAATCTCTGAACTGCGCCAAGGTGATTGAGTTAATGCGTAAGTATTGTTTTTACATTTAAACACTAAAACTAAATACTTAACAGTTAAATAAAAGGCTGACAACATCCCCAATTGAAACTATTAAATTTATCCTGCATTAGAAAGGCCTTCTAAGACGACAACCCCTTTAAAATAGTACTTAGCTTCTGAGCATTTTGCATAATCAATTACGCATTTTAAAAGCTTAATTTAAATTTAAAAGCGTCTGAGCAATACACAATGCAAATCAGTTTCCTAAAGATAATTCAAAGCTATCCAAACTATTAATTACTCACTCCTGGCAGATCAGTTCATTTTGAAGCTGTCGCAGATCAGGAGTCCTTCATAATAATTAATTTAGAATGAATACAATTATAATACTCATGTCTATGTGCAGCTAAATTAATATAATTATTTTTTTCTTTTCTTGTTTGAAGGCCCAGAGACAGCTATCTCCCAATCAGTGTCAAAAATCATTTTAAATTATCGAACATTAGAAATCACTAAATGGTTGTAATGTGACACAGACTGAAAACCTAAAAGAGAATTAAAGAGGTCAAGAGGTCATGTGATGCCAAAAAGAAAGCATGTGAAGCACAATATCTTAAGGACACTTTGTTTAGTCTTAATCCTTTATGATGTCATTTTACAATTTGATTTTAATCAAAAAGCTAAGAAACTATCCATATTGTTTTACCTTTAAGATAAATTATTAAGCTATAATCTAGAAGCAGACTTATTGCTTTCAGTTAACATGTGAAATCACGTCGGGGCAAAGTAAAATCCGTAAACAGTATCATATCTCTGAAATTGACAGATAAAGAAGGAAGAGATATAAAGACGGCGTTTATCATCCAGTTGCTTTGATAAAAGTTGCCTCTGTATGGAACGTTAAGACCATTAATTTCTCTTTCGGCGCCTGTGTCCATGGCCAATTCTCAGAGTATTGCCACTCTGCAAAACATAATACCTTTAATTTATTTTTCAAATTGAGCGCATCTTTTATTAACAAATAAGGCGGGTGATTTGGAAGCTATAAACGCATTCCTAAATAATTTAAATCTTTACTTTCTTAATAAGGCAGCTAACTGATTAAAGTTAAAATGCATTTAATTTTATAATATACTAAACTGATAATTTAATGAACAATTGCAGTTTTGGTATCATCAGTAAAATATATTTCTAACGCCACATAAACATAAGTGGCTACGAATCATGTTTCTCCAGTCGATTTTTATAATGTTTTACTCTTTTAGTTTTTTAATTTTTCTAAATTTTTGTAAATTTTTAAGAGCAGGGCTTAATTTTAATGGTAAGCCGGTTTGAAGTACTAGTCTATAGCTTAAAATGTTCCGACTGATTTCCCAAAATGTAATTTGAAAGCCATTTGTAACGAGGTTTATACTAAGGAAAAAATGTGCGTTGTCGAAAAATTGTAATATCTCTTGTTTTTATCTATTTTTATTATTTCGTATGATTTATTATTAGCTTACCTTTAATTACTATTCTAGTAATTTAGCTATGGAAAGTATGTATAATGTAGACTTTAGAAACTCATAGTTTAAATAAATCTTAAAAATAAGGCTTATTGGTTATTTTAAAAACTATTATCAGTATTTTGCATTTAATTTCATGCAACTAATTTTTGTTAAATTTCCTAAAAATTTAGCCTAAAAGCACAGGGTTTTAACAAGATAACAGCTTCATATTTCAAGATCATTACATAGAATTTGTTTTTCTACTATGTATCTTTCCTCTACGTGGCCCATCGAGTCCTGCAACTGCATAAGAGATAAGATTTTCCATACTTCTTGACGCGTAATCAGCTCTTAAAGTGTTTCCTTCTACACAAAATAAAATCTTCAATTCATTTTTTATTCTAATTACTTGACAAAATGAATAATTTGTAAACAATAAAAGAACCTCTTTATTTTTTAATATGTATCTCAGTGCAGTAATTTCAAAATAAATTTAATTAATAATACATCCAAAAAATAACTTTTATAACACTTTGCAGCATTTCTATGATTATTAAAAGATGTTTCTAATGCCGTACAGTACGTAACTCTGTGCAGAATCCTTGATTTTTATTTACTGAAACCCATGTGAAATGTTCCTTATTAATAGTTTCAAAGCAGAAATTTTTATTGACAGCTAAAAAGGAATTTACTTTTATAGCATGAGAATTTTTTTAATACGAATCGAAAGAAAACTTTTACAGATTCTTTCAAAAGAAACAAAAATTTAGGAAAAAACTTATTTCCTTTTAAAAATGAAGCATAAATAGAGGCATGAAATACCTCTCTCCTACTTCGAAAAACATAATTGGAGATAAGACCATTGCTAGAAAAATAAAGTTGCATTAAATTTAAAAGGGTAAAGATAATATGCAAAATAACATGCTTTTTACGTATGGTATACTAGTAAAGATTTGCAGGACCGTTAAAAGCAGATTTAATTCCAATCTGAAATATCAAAAACGCCGTTTCAAAAATAGATACAGACTGCTTCATATTTTTATCACGTTTATTTTTAATAGCTCCTATTCGTACATTATAAACCAAAAATATTATATGAAAGACACGATCGAAATGAAAGGTGCATTTTAAAAAATAAATCTGAACATTTAACCTTGTCACTTTCTACCTTAAATGAGATGCACGCATGAATTTTTAAAATGAGAATTCCCTCCCCTCCCCCCCTCACATTTATTTCTAGCCTTGAAATTAAATATTGAAGATATTCTTCGTTTATTTGTTAAAAAAATTATTCATTCACATTATTTACCTTAAATTATCTCTGCATATTTTAGTTTATTATTCAGGTTTTTATAATTACTAACATTTGCAGTTTTATAGAAATGCGCTTCAGAATTGTCATGTTTGTGAAACTCCTTAAGTAATTATCTAAGGAAAACGGACTTATGCTTGTGTTTCTTATAAAGAAATTTTACGAATTCCCCAAAAAACATATATTCACAAACTTCTCCATTTGACAAGATAGAAGTAATATTGGTATCTCGTACAGCAACAAAACAAAATCTGTTTTAGTAAATACGTTTACTGCAGCAAATCTGTTTTAGTAACATAAACAATTTGTTATCCATATTTTCCTCTGCGTGATTTAGCTTTATTCATTACACCTCTTTTTCTCTATGCAATATTGGAATCTATTACGTCAATGGAGCTCTTGTCATCTAAACGATATGGAAGTTTTGTCATCGCCTAGGCTATAAGATCTTTAATTTAATTTCCGTTAGAACTTGCAAATACCCATTTTCCGAAACGTTATCATTTGACGTGACTTAATTCTTTCTAGATATAACTGAACTTTATGTTTAGAGTTATAATTATAGTTGTTTAATAAACTGTACGATTTTAAAGCAAAAAGCGTATATATTATACAATCGATATATTTTTAATATTACTTACTATAATATTGAACTTATAATAATAAGCTGTAATTGTTTGTGAATATTTTCGTTGTTATTGCGATTTAAAAGATGTCGCTACTTTGGAAGAAAAGCGGCACAACTCGAAAATCACTAGTTAAAAGGACAACTCGCATGAAGATTTGTTTTGTTAAAACAACACTAACATAACTGTCGCTTAGCAGCTATATATACGAAGAGACCCTTCCACATGAAAATATATCACATTTTCGTTTTTTTTTAATATAAGCGAAAAATCGCAATTTTTTTAGTTATGCTAGTTTTTTTCTTGAGTAGAGATTTGTCTAATGCTATATAGTACTATAATACGTACTTTGGTAAAAACTTTTATTGCATAATTTTGTACTTTTGCCTTTATATTTCTTTTTATTCAACTTTCTGCATTTTAAGCACAACAAGCAAATAATTCCACTAAGTTTTCCAACTCTCCATAATTATGATAATTCAAAAATTATTCTTGATCCTATAAATTAGTTATCGCTTGATAGATTTCATGCTTTATAAAATTCATTTTCGCAACGCAATTTTCCAAATTCATGATTTTCGCTTTTGTCTAACTTATCAATGAATCTGCTATGCAACGGCGTATGAAACATAATGGCATCAATAAGAAAGAGAACGTGTTGCATATGCAAATGAACTCTGACCTCAAAAATTGAACTTACATGATTTTCAGAACTTAATATGCATGTTCATCTCACGCTCCTATGTCTGATTACTTCCGGTTTCAGTTATCTACCTTCATTTCGAAAATTATTTTCAGGTTAGAGATATAATAATGTTGACCTGATCCAAAATGTAGAAAGATTAAAAAAGGTTAAGACATTAGAGATTGCAAGTATTGTTTAAACATAGTGACTTCCATACTAAACATTTTCTTTAATAACTTAACTTTTCTATAGACTCCAGATTCACTGGGAACGGATTAATTGTACTGCGAATTAACAGAGCCTTGTCTAAAATAAATTGAACATGTATTTATAGCGGAACGTGGAAAATCAACTATTGTCAAATGTCAGCGTAAAATAAAGCTGCCACTAGAAAATATAAAAAGAAATATATGTAGGACAACCAAAATGGTTATCATAAGCAAATAGTTATCATATCATATCATCATAAAAATGGTTATTATAGCAACTCTGAGTATTTTAGAGTTACTTTTGATAATTTACGTAACAAATTGAAGTTATTATCTAGATTGAACTGTTTGAAAATACAGATAAATCGTTAGTTATATTTTTGTTACTTATAGTATGAGTTATAATAATTTTCTTGTGTTTTTAACTGCCTATGGATTAACCATGACTTTGAATTATATGTGAACGTCGCCTGGAATCACCATGGTAAATCGAGAGTTGACAGTAGAAATCAAATAAGAGTCTATGCAAAACATTATGTGATTTGAGTATATATGAAACGTGTCATCAGATTTATTTACGTATAAGTACGACTGCTATTATTACTGCAATTTCGTTGCAACTAACAATAAATAATAAATAAACAATCATTTTTAAATTACATAGATTTATTTAAATTGACTAATAGAAAATAAAATAATAATTTATATCCGTCAAATCATGTTTGGCCATCTGAGATTGAAAGCAAAATCAGAGAATTGCTAACAGTGGTGAATTTTTGGTGATGAAGCAGATCGATAAAGTGGTGATGAAGCAGATCGAATATAATCATCATTCTTTAAATGCTGGTAGTTCGGTCCGAGGTTCGAATCCCGCGAATGGGCTGGCTGCATGGGCGTTTCGTTTGCATGGGCTGCATGGGTTTTCCCCATGTGTAACGTGTATACGAGCCAGTTTCCCTTAGAAAGTCCTCCACGAAGGCATCCCTCCTCTTAGGCAGATAGCCCTCGAGGCTTTGCCATAATCACACACACACACACACACACATTCTTTAAATGCATCATTACTATGCAACTAGTTCTAATTTACTTATAATGTTGTAAAAGTCGTAATACAATTCGTATATAGAAAAACCATAATTTCATTTCTAATCGCATGTATCACAGATTATTATGCGAGCTATAAAAATCATTTTTTACTTTTTACTGCTCATTTAACCAGAATTATGTAATTTAAAAGTCTTTTTCTACACGTATGCATTATTTTATGCTTTTTAGTCTGTAGTATATGGGAAAGTAATAAATAAAGAACAGCGTTGCTTATGAACTTAAATTATTCGTTAATGACCTCTTATAATAAAGAGCAAGTGACATCATCTTTTTTCCAAATGTCTTTCGAAATATCCAATTGGACATATTTGAATTCAAATTCCTTAATTTCTGTTTAAATCAACAATCTGTTAGCAATACCTTTTAAAATTTTCGGGCTATAAATTTAAGTACTAAACTTTTTAATTTAAAAATTCATTTTTTACCAATTCCACGGTAACTTAAGAAACTGAACAACATTTGAACAAAATCCAAAAATTTGACAAGTAATATCAGAAATTCTACAAAACCTTTATTTAGAAGATTATTTTTCTATTTATCCAATGTTCAAAATTTTGAGATTTGACCGTTAAAAAATAATTTATGGGAAAATTTCAACACGAAATAAAAGAAAACTTATACTGAATTTTGAAAATATTTCTTGGAATATTTCTTGTATTGGCACTGCAAATAATCTGTGTGGAAACTCTCCAAACAAATCGGGTTGATAGGACAGAGTCAAAAATTAACATCAATATTTGACCTAAAATATTAAAAGACCAAAAGAAACGAACAAGCAGTATAAAGGAAAATTATGTACAACCGTATTATAATAATCATAAGGAAATTAATAATATTAAATATAAGAATTCATACAGAAAAAATTAAAATTCGAAGTAAAATTGCGTAACAAATGTTTAAAACTGGACTGATGATCGTTACATTAAAAAAAAAAAAAAAAAAAAAAAACTTGAAACTATATAAAAACTATTGTTCTAATTTCATAAATTTTAAGTACTCTTCAACTTGTAATTGCACTGGTTCGGCTTTAATACGATTTTTTTTCTTTTAAACAGACCCGTCATATATGCGCAACTTAACGTTTAAATAAAATACGTAGAGGTAATTTTTTACTTAATTTATGTCCATATACTTTCATATATAATTAATTATTCAAAATTTGCGTAATATATAGCAATCTCTGTATATAATATAATTTAGCACATAACGCTTCTAGGAAATATTTACTTAATTTTCCCTAAAAATTTGTATTCAAAATTTTTTAATATATTTCCTGTGTAGTGCCTTTACATAACGAGCTTATACAAAGTAGGCTTTCTTATGTTTGGTTTGGTTTATCTGATTACGGCAAAGCCTTGAGGGATATCTGCCTAAGGGGAGAGTTGCGTTCGTGAAGCTTTTTAAGGGAAACTAACTCGAATACACATAAGAAATACCACGGAAACGCCCATGCAGCCCAACCAGTGCGCGAGATTTGAATCTCGGACAGAATTACTAGTGTTCAATGACTTTACCGCTTGGCCGCTGATGGGTCAGGCTTTCTTATGCATCATCTAAAATTTTAAGGCCGTTTTACGTGTGAGACAAATGCAATAGTACATTAGATATTTAAAAGTAAAGGAAGCAAATAAAATAGAATGCCGTAGTGAGAATAAAAGTCTTATCTTCTATCAACTAATATTTTTATCTGATCTCTTTTCTTAATTTTTATTGCTAATTTTTTTCATTGTAATTATTTTTTAATTAGTTTAAATATAATTTTAACAAATAAAAATTATTAAGGACAAAACAAATTATTCACTTTTTGAATCCGAATCCTGAAAATCTCTAGAATTCTTCACATCAGAATAATAAAAATAAGAAAAAAGAAAACAGGTTTAACTTTATATGGGAAGGTTTTTTTTTATTAAAATGAAATTTCCAATCTGCGTTTAATGAAAAGTAAGAATATAGCTCCTAAAATGCATCTATATGTATTAAGTAGATACAAATGAAATTTCAAAAAGGAAAAAGGTATATAATTTCAAAAAATTCAAAAAAAAGGTATTTTTATTATTAAATTAATTATTATTAAATTTCAAAAAAAAAGGTATAAATTTCAAAAAGGAAAAGGTACATAAGGAAAATTCTTGAAAAAACATATTTGAACAGGAATTATTTTTTTTTTCGAATTTTTTTGCAGGATCCTTTTTAATTAAAAAGATATTCTATTCCTCAAATAGGTAAACTTTGCAGGCCTGTTTCTACAACTATCATAGATAACATTGAAACTAGAAAGCTAAATTCTGTTCAGAAAATTAACAGCCGTCACAATGTGGTATTAGTGATCCTAGACCACTAAAATAACAATAACGGTTTTATTTTTTTAGCGAATGCTTCCTTTAAACATCAGTGAAACTAACCTTTCCAGTGCTTTGAGGTTAGAATGTTTTGCCAACTCCAACACCTCATAACCAATATCTTTTATATAAAAATTATCTTCTGAAAATCATGCCCACTTCGTATGCAAAGTCAAAAATTTTTTAAATATATATATTAAGACAATTTATAGCTTATTTCTTAAATTTATTTTAATATGAAACCCATTTTGTTGTATTCTTCTAGAAGTAGCAGAGTGAAACAACTTAATTATCCTCTTTTCAAAATGTCTTGAACGAGGTAGTATACGGGATATCTTTTAGCTGCAGGTACTTTTTTGCATTTGTTAAACATCTTCAAAAATGCACAACCATTTTGCATGAAAGAGAGTTAACCTTTAATCTTTCCCTTAAACATTGTTCTATTTCTATCATTACGAGATTATTGTCAAAGTAATATATTTAAATAAAACATTATATTTATTTTCGCCTAAAATGCGAAACATGTCACAAAAAGTCTTACCAAAACCTTCATCTTCCTTCACCAGGCTGAGGAATTTAAAAGAAAAAAAAAAAAAGAAAAGCACTATCTTTCGCTGCAGATTAAAGGGTGTCTGCTAATGAAAGTTACCCGACAACTTTTATATACATCATGGGTATCTAGCCTAAAGGCAGAAATGAAAGGGATCATCGAGTCGATCGGGTTCGAAGTCCTGCAGGGGTTTCTCTGCCCTTCGTATGGGTCAGTATTACGATTTCGCTTTCGAAGGTATTGTGCTGTGGTGTAACACTTACCAATTCACCTCGGCCACGCGTGCTGCTTTCGGTGCGCAGTTTTAAAGAATGGAGGTGATTCAGACGTCATTTTTTATAATTGCACAAGTCAGAAATGGGATCTGCAGCGTTTCCGGGGCCGCGCCTCCATTGACTTCTTGTGGTACTAATGGGGTTATACCACTCTCAAGAGATGGGAACGATCAAAAAGCACTTGTTAAACCAGTAGCGGCAAGTGAAAAAGAAGATCTGTTGCACTGTAACAATGCTTATATTTTGTTTATATACGAGGATGGCTATCTTTTGCGATGTTTGTTTACATTCACGAGAACTTGTTAAGCATGCTGAATACACATTGTTTCCCACAGGGTGATAATTTGTGTCGCGTCCCTAAAAGTTAAAAATTCACGGATTCGAAATATTGTTGCAAGAAAAATCTTTTTTGTGTTTTTTAATCTTAATAACACCCTCCAATAATTATTCTATTTACAAGGAAAATTAAACTTACAATTAAATGTTACTAAATTAGTTACGTTTTTATTACTTTGTTATACTGGTTAAAGAATGAGGATTATTAATCGTATTTTACTTATAACCTGTAACTTTTTCTATAGTTTTAATTTCAAGCTGTCAATTAACTGTTCAAATTGCTAGATAGCCGACGATTTATGTCCAGCATCACAGCTTCATTAACGAGACAATACAAAATTCGACCCGAAAAGGTAAACAATGGCGCTTTTGAAATTATCAAACTATTCAAAGATTAGATTAACCGTTAATTAGCTATAATATGCAGATATAGTTTGGAAAAAAATTAATCTCTCGCTCAAAAGATTAGTGATACTTTTTAAATTGATAATTTTTCATAAAAATCTTCTAGGCCTATTCACTGCAAAGTCTTTTCCTAATTCCTCCCTCCCTATCCCATACCGTAAAGGCTTGCCTCGTATAAGGAAGTCAACCCTCGCGTATTTTACCGTAATCGATTAAGCAAACAAACAATGATCTTCTGCTAGAGACTAGCAGAAACTTCTAAAATTGGCAATATGTTTATCAGCTTATTAATAATACTATAAAAATGCAACGTAATATAATGAAAAAGATGGAACTACAGGTTACAAACATTTCTAGCATTGAAAACCGCCGTATTAAATCTAACTGCTATTCGAAGGACATTACAAATGAAGAATTTGTAATTTTTTCATACTATGCGAATGAATTTTCTAACATTTATTTTCTTTGATTTGTAGTCGAAAGTTTCAGATATCTATCTCCTTCGGCAACATGTCTGAGCTGAAGTTTTCGCAACGAGGTGAATTCTTCGTGTTTCATCATTTTAAAGAGGCCTTACGTAACTGGGTCGTCTAGCCAATCGGCAAAATTGCAAGATGTGGAGCGAACTTGTTTCTGGACTGCAGCACGTGTAGTTCACGTTAGGAAGAAAGGCGAACATATGCTACAACATAGAATGTTCTTTAAATTCAGCACGAGTATAGCTAGAACGTATTTCTTATTGCTTCAGGTTTGGCTCTTGGCACACATATAAATCATTTCTAAGAAAGCTCATTAAGTTTCTTAAGGGATACGATGGTTTCGCCAACATATTTTATAAGAGAAACTGTTAAAAAAAATTTTTATCTTTTTTCTCTAACCAACTGATTACGTTTCACCTCTCCACAATATCTTTCTCTGCAATGTGCCAGGATCTTTCCTTTCCACATACTTTCAACGCATAGGCTTAATTTATTTGATTATGGCAAAGCACATGAAGGCTATGCCTAATTGAAGAGATGCCTTCGTAGAAGACATTCTAAGGAAAGTTGGCTCGTATCCATGTTACACACTGCGAAAACCAATGAAGCCAGCCTGGAATCGAAACCAACTGGAATTACCAGTATTCTACAACTTAATAGTTCGGCCTCTGGTGTGCCTTTCAAGGTAGAGAATTTCAGTATATTTTTGCTGAAAAAAAGATATTTGGGTTAAAATGTCCTCTTTACTCATACTCGCGCAGTCCAAGTTTTAGCGCACTAAAAGAATACTTTGCAGAGATTTTGGTGTATTACCCAGTATATATTTGCTTAAAACGCATCTTTAGTCTTATACCTATAGCGATTTGCAGACATTTAATTTTTTTATTAGTGTATTAAATGTTGTATTTTTGCAGTATGTGTGGAGTAAAATATAAACTGAAGGTTCATTTCTTTGCATTAAAATGTGATAGGGGTGGGGGATAGACTACATTTTTTGGAAACGAATAGAAGGAAAAAGTTCTTTTAAAAGCCAAAAAAACTGACGTAACTCCAGTTAAAAGAGGAGTTCAAGCTGATAAAAAGATAAACAATTTTGAGCAAATATAAAATTAAAAAATGCAGCCATTTAACCGAAAGAAGATATTTTGGAAAAAAATTAAACAAAAATGGGGGATTGCGTTGCAAATTTACGTCATTTTTAAGTACAGCTTATATATACAATTAAAGACATATCTATTACTAATAATCTAATTTCTTTTGAAAGCTTACTGTCACATTATAAAATTTTTAAAAAGTACAGTAACAATTAATTTTTCAACTAGTTGAAGCAGCTTAATACCATCATGTGGTTTATACCCCTCAAAACCAGTCTTTGAAATACATTTAGTACATTATACATTTACCTTTAGCAGTTAACAGATTTTCACGGTGTGTCGGTATCCAAATAATCTGGATAATTGTCTGTGGAATATACACTGCTGGGTATTAAAATTGCATCACCAGGAAGGAATGATCTAACGAATGTCAAAATTACACGAAAGGAAGAAGAGGTTGGGATATGCGAATGATCAGTATTTCAGCGCATTTCAGACGACGCAGGAGACAAAAACGACGTCTGAAGCGCTCTGCATAAAAGAAAAGTTGTGTAGTGGATTTCTCATTCGGAAAGGGCTTTGTAAGGTCGGAGTTTGCTCAGAATATCGTGTTATGCCTCGAATAGTAAGAAGAAATATTTACCAGCAAGTTTCGAAATATGGAATCAATGGGTTGCTGAAGGGTTGGAATCAATGGGTTACTGAACAGCATGCAGGACCTCAACGCCCTCAATGACTAACACCCGAGAGGACAGACATATTGTGAGGTCTGCCCTGCAAAACCGTACAACCACATTACGGACCATTAGTCAGAAAATGATGTTTGCAGCACGCCCAGTATCCGCTCATAGGGCGCGTCGACGTTTTCAGCAGTGTGGACTATCAACAGGGCGACCATTATTTCGGCTTCCCTTGACAATGTAGCACAGAGAAAAACGGCGACTCTGGTGCCCCGAAACGACGAAGCTAGGATAGCAGAAGTGGCAACAAACCGCCGGCTTCTCAAATGAGTCCCGAATTCAGGCGACTTGCGGTCTGCCTCGGAGCCTCTAGACATGTATACGGCTACGTGTCTGGAGGCTACAAGGAGACCGCAAGTTGTCCTGCTTTGCATTCGATATCGGCATAGGGGCCATTGCACCTGGTGTAATGGTTTGGGCAGACCATTGGGTGCACGACGCGCACGCTTTAGTGCGGATCGACAGTAATTTTGAATGTAGATCAGTACATTTCTGACATCTTACGTCCAGTAGGTTGTACCCTATCTTCGAGGCCTATCAAACGCCATCTTTCAACAATACAATGCAAGTACGACATGCATGCTGTCTGTGCTCTGACCTTTCCTCGGATACAAATGGTATTTGATTGCTGCCCTGGCCTGCACGATCTCCAGATCTGTCTCCCACTGAAAACATCTGGTCATGGGTTGCTGAGAGACAGGTCCGCTTCACCCCTCTCCAGCTAATACAGGAATCCTCCAGCCTCTCCAGCTGAATGACAGTGTAATCTCCAGCCTCTAAAGCCAGGATGGAATGAATTGCCAATTTCTGTTATCCAAGCTCAGTTTGACTTCCATGCCTTAAGCAGTTAAGTGGCCGTTTTAGATGCCAAAAGTGGCAGCTGTTTCTATTAATTTCGCACCCCCTGTAAACCTCCAAACTGCTTACAAATTGGATAATATTTTCATGCCATACTGTTTACGATACAATAAATATCCTTTTTGTGTTTGCTTTCTTTCATCGTTTTTCAGTTTTAATGGCCAGCAGTGTATTTATGTGTAGATTCAAAAAGTATCCACAGTGCATCAATGCTGCTTTAAGTCCATATTACACTTCATCAATAGCATTAGCTGGAGAGGGGTGAAGGACGAGTCTCTCAGCAACCCATGACCCAGATGTTTTCAATGGGTGACAGATCTGGAGACCATGCAGGCCTGTACAGCAATGGAATATCCTGCACATCGAGAAAGGTCAGAACACGACAGCAACATGTGATATTGCATTATCTTGTTGAAAGATGGCGTTTGATAGGCCTCGAAGATAGGGTGCAACTACTGGACGTAATGTCAGAAATTTACCGATCAGCTTTCAAATTACCGTCGATCCGATCATGTAGGTGCTAACGTACAGGTCTGAGTTTGCATTCCATCCATACTTGCTGGATGTACAAATCAAGCTTAAGAGGACACCAAGAAAAAATTGGTATATGACGTTCACAGAAAAAACGTCGGATATTGCATGCGATATGGGCGGTAACGTTATCCTATTGAAAGAAAGCTCGAAGTAAGCTCCGTGGCATTGATAAATCTTCTGATTATAAGACCTCGCTAATGTACCACTGATTCATAGTGTCATTGTTTTATAAAAGGCGACAGCAAAAAGGGAATCTGATACTAACCCTAACCGTAATACTCATGCTGAAGTCGATGCCGTAGTGCGCATATCTCAGTGTCTAATTAATCCATTTTCACAATTCAAACATTAATCAATTAACTGCAAGATAATTAACTACTGGAATAATTTCATATTAAATTCAAAAACTGAATTCAAATTT